TAAGCCTATTAGTGTCCTGCGGGTTTTTCTTCCCAAGGTGGAGTACCTTGCATTTTTTGGAGTTGAAGACCATCAGGTTTTCATCCGCTCATTTTCCCAGCCTGTCAAGGTTGGCCTGGATCACCATCCTGTCCTTGGGTATGGACGCTTTTCCCCGAAGTTTGGTGTCATCGGTGAACTTGGCCAGTCTACTTCTGACACCAATGTCCACATGTAACAGGTATCCGCTCTGGGCCAATCTAAACATGGCCCGCCCACCTGTTCCTGGGGCAACTGCCCACCTTCTCGCCTGCCATGCCTTGCTGTTACTTGATTAATTTATGTTAATTAGCAGGAGGCTGCCCTTGTACTGCTCCGCTGCCAGGGGGCACTATCTGCGGCTCCGTTTCCTCCCCTACACCGCAGTCCACACCTCGTCGATGGAATAGATGTTATGTCTCAGCCCTATCACAATCTGGCCCCTTTTTGTCCTCTCTGGGCCTTCCTTCCTTTGCTACGCACCTCCTCTGGTGCTAGGGCTCTCCCCGGCCCTATCTCACTCTGTGCCCTCTTCTCTGGGGCCTTATCAACAATGCTGCCCCCTCTCTGGGGCTCACCAGGCCCACATTGGGGCTTGTCAGTAATGTTGCGCCCTCTCTGGGCTCACCACGCCCGCACTGGGGCTTCTCAGTAGTGCCCCCTCTCTGGCTTCACTGCGCCTGCCCTGGGGCTGCTCAGTAAGGCTGCCCCCTCTCTGGGGCTCACCAGGCCCACATTGGGGCTTGTCAGTAATGTTGCGCCCTCTCTGGGCTCACCACGCCCGCACTGGGGCTTCTCAGTAGTGCCCCCTCTCTGGCTTCACTGCGCCTGCCCTGGGGCTGCTCAGTAAGGCTGCCCCCTCTCTGGGGCTCACCAGGCCCACATTGGGGCTTGTCAGTAATGTTGCGCCCTCTCTGGGCTCACCACGCCCGCACTGGGGCTTCTCAGTAGTGCCCCCTCTCTGGGCTCACTGCGCCTGCACTGGGGCTGCTCAGTAAGGCTGCCCCCTCTCTGGGGCTCACCATGCCCACATTGGGGCTTGTCAGTAATGTTGCGCCCTCTCTGGGCTCACCACACCCACACTGGGGCTTCTCAGTAGTGCCCCCTCTCTGGGCTCGCTGCGCCCACACTAGGGCTGCTCAGTAAGGCTGCCCCCTCTCTGGGCTCACCACGCCCACACTGGGGCTTCTCAGTAATGTTGTGCCTTCTCTGGGCTCACCCCGCCCGCATTGGGGCTTCTCAGTAAGGCTGCCCCCTCTCTGGGGCTCACCGGTAATGTTGCGCCCTCTTGGGGCTCACCACGCCCGCACTGGGGCTTCTCAGTAGTGCCCCCTCTCTGGGCTCGCTGCGCCCACACTAGGGCTGCTCAGTAAGGCTGCCCCCTCTCTGGGCTCACCACGCCCACACTGGGGCTTCTCAGTAATGTTGTGCCTTCTCTGGGCTCACCCCGCCCGCATTGGGGCTTCTCAGTAAGGCTGCCCCCTCTCTGGGGCTCACCGGTAATGTTGCGCCCTCTTGGGGCTCACCACGCCCGCACTGGGGCTTCTCAGTAACACTGCCCCCTCTCCAGGGCTCACCGTGCCCGCACTGGCACTCCTCAGTAATGCCCCCTCTCTGGGGCTTCTCAGCTACCCCTCTCTAGGGCTGGGGTCTGTGCACCCTGACTGCTGCGCCCTCACTGGTGCTGGGGTCCTCACACTCCGCTGTGAGTCCCCTACGAGGCCTCCTCCAACCCCTAATAGCCTCACCCAAACCACCGGTCACAAACAGCAACACAAACACAAGCCCTCCAGCTATAACTTAAATGGAAGCCGCTTGGCCATAACATCAGTCAAGCCTACCGGGGAACACTTCTTCCGTCAGCAGTGTCAAATGCTGCTCCTGTAGTCAGGCATCCCCTTTCTTCCCTGAGAGAGTTCCTTCCCCTTGGCTGCTAGAAAGGAACTGCTTCTGGCCTCAGCTCCTAGGGTTTATAAGGGAGCCAGGCCCTGCCCCTTCTGGTCAGCTGACCTCCTCTGGTTGTCTTGGCGACCCACCGCTGGGCTCCTTAGTCACCGCTATGGCTCTCTCCCTAGCAGGTTCCCCTCTTTAGGAGCAGGGCACCTCAGTGCTCTGCGACACCACATAATTAATGAAGATGTTGAAAAGGATAGGCCCAAGGACAGAGCCTTGAGGGACTGCACTGGTCACGGCGCACCACAACGATTGACTTCCGTTAACTACCACTATCTGGGTCTGACCTCAAAGCCAATTCCCCAGCCAGTGGACTGTGATGTACCTGAGGCTGCAATTGGCCAGTTTTTCAATATTCTCAGGGTAATCCATAATGAAACACCTGAAGGGTAAAGCCATCACCCCCCTCCCACTCCTCAAACAATGGAATACACTTTTGGCAAACAAAAAAATAGCAGCCACAACAAAACAACAAGGATTTTTCCCCTTCCCCGCAATTTACCATTTTGTGGTAAATTCTTTTTATTCCTGACCCTATAATACTCCCTTCAGACTGCAAAGGAATTAATCAGTACCCCAACCAAGGGATGAAGAAAAATAATTTTGATCCATACTTTTCCCAGTGAGAGGAATTAAAATCAATGTTTGTGAAATAGAAGAAGTTAATACTGATAATTAAAAATTATTACAATATTTAGGAGGTTATAATCAATACAATGCAAATTTTTAAAACAATATTATTCACCACATAAAAGTAAAAGCAAAAAGATACAGAAGAATAAATTAGTTCTCAGACCAGTTCAAAGGTTATGAATGGGTTGGTAAACATTAAGGGCTGGACTGCATCAGGGTTATTGATGCTTATGGACACTTACATTCACTCAAGAAATGGAGCACTCACACATCTAAGTCCCCCAGCGCAAAAAACAGTCAAACGGTAATCTAACTTGCAAGTCATATCTGATTGTGTGCCTGTTTTTAAGTCAACTCTCTTTAATGCTATTCATAGTCTACTCCTTGTAGAGTTCAATTAGCCTAATTGAAATACAGCAGTGGTATTTTATTAAAAGTGTGTGTTATATGCAAGAAAATATGGTAGTCAGTTGCAACTACCGTAAAAGTTTATGCAATTTTGAAGTATGAAATCTTAAAAAGCAATTCTTCTAGCCTTTCCTTGCCCTACTCTTAAAATCTCATCCGCCCTTTCATTTTTTTTTATAGTGGTTATAGCATTCAATTTTATTCTTTGTTCAATTATCAAAGACCAGACAGCTAGCATTGTGATATCTATTGAACATTTTTAGTTTTTTTCCCCAAAGATAGCATATAAAGAGAGAGAAAACCTAGGACTAAGATAAGCACAATTTATTGTACAAGCCTCCAAATGCAACAGAAACTTGTGACTAAACCTGTAAGGAAACCAAACCTGACTTATTTCACCCGTTTGCTACTTTTTTATTTTAGAGTTTTAAAGGGGCTCTCTTAATTCCAAAAAATCAACAGGATATCATGTCCTTTGTATACAATAGAAATTAAAAAAAAAAACAAAAAAAGGCTTTGCAAAGAAAAATTGGGAAAAATGTTGCATTGATTGTAGAGATGTAGACATTCCATAAACTTCAGTATAATAACTAGAAACTCCAGAACATCTCTTAGCCAAATGCATTCAGAATTACTTGACTTGCTAAAAAGCCAGCAGTTGCTTGGACTCATATTTGTGGAGTCTCCAGCTACCATGTAGATGCTTATGTATACACTTACAGTTTTTACTGGATTGAGGGGATTAATGCTATTGATGAAGGAAACAGCCACATACCATCCTTGAAAATTCAGGGGAGTAGTGATTGTATCCCAGGAAGTAATGGCAGAAGATAACTCTCCCATTACAGGCAGGACAGGGGGGAGGGGGAATCTAAAGCTGTGCAAAACATCATTGTTCAGGCCTGTAAAATCCATAAACTTGAACTAGCATTCAAAGAACATAACAGAATTGGAATTACATCCTAATTCAGGACAGGTTCAAGATCCTATATAAGTGCTTTGCATAAATAGGCTCAGCTAGTGATAATACAGTTATTAATTCTGGAACAGGACTGTTTTTTCATCAGTCCCATCACCATCTTTTAAATATTATTTTGTAGTTCTACCAGCACATATCTGATGTTAAAGTGCATAATTTCTGTGAAGAATTATGTTAAAATTCTACCACCCTATAAGGTAAATATATTTTAATGGTCATTTGGAAAACATAATTTTGAAGAAAATGCTAAGCCATATACCTCCAAAATTACACCCACCATCACTTATCCATATATAGCTGCAAAGACTATGCACATGAACATGTATCCCAGAATGTACAGTTCACTGTAAACTTTTCAATGGAAAACCCAAATTTGTCAAACCTCCTGGGGGAAAATAAATCATTTTCAATTAAACCTGCATTGGGAAGGCTCCTCATGAACAGGACACAATTTGAGTCTGCCTGATCCGGAGCAGAGACCTGAACCTGAGTTTCCAGACTGCAGTGCTTTGACTTATGAACTATTAGTTATTTTGGGGTCAATCTTTCTCAATCTCTCCTGTTGGAGCTGTACTTCAGTAAATTAATTATTAAGTATTCACAGGCCAATGTGGAAGAGACTGACAGAGAAAAATGGCATGGGTAGTTATGTAGAAGATACTGTCAGGCAGAGAAGGGGTTTGACCCTAAATTTTCTACATTGCATGGAAGGGCCTTAGCCTCTTAGAGATGAGATATGGATGGGGGAGGGCAGGGCACTTTTTGTGCATAATAATTAACAAAGTCTCAGTTCCATCCCAGTAAGAAAATGGAGTTTTTGAAACTTTGAAAACTTTTATAGGATGGAAAAATAATTTTGGACCCAGCTCTAATTACAATCTCATTTACCATACAATCAAGCAAAGGCTATTTTGCAGGGTATATTTAAATATCAGTTATGAAACATACCTGATTTATTTTAAACTTTGAAAAGAACATTTAGAATAATGAATGTATGACGATAGCTTACCTATGAGAGACAGCTCCCCAAGCACCGTGCTTATTTGTTAGTATGTTGAGTATCTTTTGTTTCAGCTGGTTGGCTGTTACATGATCTCGATGCTTAGCAGCACTGATAAGATGGTCACACATCTTTTCCTCTTCTCTTCTGTCAGCAGCATACTGGGCACACTGTGACTAAAAATGAAAAGTACATATTGTATATAATAGAATCATTTAGAAACTGTCCTATCTTGTTTAGAAATAATTTTCATAATCTAAAAATCTCCTCTCTACCTGCACCTCAGGTAGAGAGCTCTTTGAAGCGCTCATTAAAATTAGCATTTTCATGTAAACAGGAAGCAGCTTCCCATTCAGACAAAGCTCTAAAAAAGAAATGCAACACCTAGTTTTACAGTCTTTAATTGAATTAGCTGTATTAAACACTTCATGACAAAAGAGCAAAGTTAAAGTTTGAAATTAAGTAATTAAGCCAAGAAATGCAGAATGATGATGAAAATACACTGAATTCTACACCTCTTTGTTTAGGCCTTAAAATTGGCCATTTTTTTAATTTAAAAAAGTAACCCAAAATCTGCATCTTTCCGTGATGAAAATGAAAAACCATCACACACACACACACACACACACACACACACAAATATTACTGGTGTTTCATTTTAATCACAGAAAAATGTGGATTTTTGGTTACTTTTTTAAATCTGAAAATTGGGGATTTTTTTTTTTTTAATCTGAGAAAACCAGGATCCCTGTCCATGACATAATACAATATAGGCTGGAAATTCTTAACAATGTAAGAAGTGCCATACTGGGTTAGATCAAAACTCCATCTCGCCTAGTATTCTGTGGCAGGAATGGATGCTTTGGGCTAGGTCAGAGCCTCCCAAACTCTGACAGATTGCAAACCACCAATTAAAAATGATACAACCTTAAGTACCACGAGTAAATTTTTGTCATATAAAGTAATTATAATAAATCTGTTAATGCGTACCAATGACAGGTTGTCTGCGTATCATTGGTGGTCAGAGATTAGGAACCGCTGGGCTAGGGACAGAAGTTACACATCAACTGGTTTAAGTGATCAGAAACTGGTTTACACATGTAACACAACATAAGTTCAGCGCACATAAACCAGTTTCAAAATGGATGAAACTGGTTTAGGATAAACCTGGTTGAATGTAGTATTAGACTTATCTGATTTGAGTCAAACTGGTTTATGCAATTTCTGTCCCAGACCCTTTCCTGGTTTAAGTTAAACCAGAGTCCTCCAGCATCCCAGCATGCTCTGCAGCCCTGGACTGGGCTGTGCTCTGTGCTTCAGAGAGCAGGGCTGGCCCTGACCCTCTGTTCTCTAGCCCAAGAAGGGGGGGATGTGGCCAGATGTATCCCAGCATGACCCCATTAAGGCAAAGTGTGAAGGAAGGGGGTAATTCTTCCCTCCCCCCACTGCAACTCGGGTCTGCCTGTCTGCGGGCAAGCAGCAGAGGTGGCATCTTGAACTGGCAGACCCCAGCTGTGGTCCCTGACGTTAGAAGGGAGAGAGGGAGGGATTAACACCCTCCCTCCCTGCCTGCCCCCTTTCCCTTAATAGGGCTGTGCTGGGATGACGTCTAGCCACACCCCCACCCCTACCACTGAAACAGTGAGGGGGGGGCAGCAGCCTTTGTCAAGGTACCCTAGGGAGCGTAAGCACGGAGGGGGTTTATTTCCCCCCTTCCTCTCCTGTCCCACTGGTAGCGACCGCAGCCATCCCAGTATGGATCTGCTAAGGCTAAGGAGGGGTTAATTCCCATTGCCTCCCACCAGGGGACTGCACGTAGGACAGGGAAGCCCCCCTCCTCTCCCCCTTGCCAACATGGGGCAGGGAGGGGGGCTCTGTGTGGAGCTGCCCAGCTCCACAGGGGGACTCTTCCCCTTCCTCCTCCTTCCCCCACCCCACTGCCATGGGGTGGGGTGGGGGCCTTTGTGCGGTGCTTGAGAGGGATTTTTCCCTTTTGTCCTTCTCTTTCTCCCCACTACTGCAGGGTGGGGAGTGGGGTTCTATGTGATGCTGCCTGGCCCAGCCTAGCCTAGGTGTGGGGAGCATCTGTCACTGAGGTGCAGCCTCTGGAAGGGTCCTTCTTCCACAGCCCAGGCCAGCCCTGCTCAGCTCTCACCAAAGCAGCCACATGGTGGGGGCCGGCCTGGGCCCCCACATCTATAGCTCAGTGACAGAGAAGCTGAGCCCTGTTAATGATACCAGCCTGGCCTGGCAAGCACAGGCAGTGGCTGGCCAGGCAGTGGGCTACCCGGGCTGGCTCAGAGGCACCACAGGGGCTCATGTGTCTGCACTGAGCCCCCATAGCAGGCGGCTGCCGGGCTCCAGGCCCGCCAGCACCTCTGAGCTGGCCTGGGTAGCCCACTGCCTGGTCAGGCATTGCCCGTGCACATTGGGCCAGGCTGCTCTCACTGACAGGGCTCAGCTTCCCAGTCACAGCCACAGCTGCTGGGGCCTGGGCTGGCC